AAAAAATATTTCTTAAATCAAGGAAGGCGATTCTTGTTTCAAAGGTGGCTTCTTTCTTGTTTAATTGATAAGATAAATTTTTTAAAACAAGAAAGGTTTTTAAGAAAGACACCTTTTAAACAAGTAAAGATATTTCTTAAAACAAGAAAAACAATTCTTTTTTTTAAACGTGGATTCTTTCTTGTTAAAAGGAAAGGAAGTTTTTTTTTTTTGCGTATTATATTTAATTACATTTTAAACATTTAACACTTAACATTTAAACGTTTTTTAAATAACACATTTTTGACTAACGAAAACATGTATTATTTATCATATGATATATTATTGGTGGTGCATTTAATTCACATAATTTAATTATTGTATAGTATAACACAAGGTCTTTTGAACTTCATATGACATAAGGTGATCACAAAACTCAGTATATAGTTGCAGGCATAAAAACCATTTTCTTCGCCTTTCCTCATCTGGAAAAAAAGAGTTATTGGGATATCAAATATTTGTTTTTAGAGAGACAGGAGCAGAATATGATAGGGTTGAAAATCGGATTTCAGATCGGGTGAGCCCCTATATGCATACTAGACATCTGCATGAATAACAAAAAATACATATTCGAATTGACAATGTTCGAAATGAGTTGAATGTGTTGGAATGTGTAGGGAAACTGGCTTGAATAAATAAGTGTACTGACGTAAAATTCAGTCGAACCAGAAATGGTGATGGAAAACGAATCGAGTAAATGAGTACACGAACAACTCAGACGAATTTATTCGAATCCATTCGAGTTCTTACATGACGTCATAAGGGCAAAATGGAAAATTAAATTTGTTTTGAAATACATACATAAATAATTGGCTTTATGTTCTTTTTTTAAATTACAAATCTACCTTTAGTTTTAGCTCGCCACTGAATCCAACCATGCCATTTTTATATTTAAATCCTAAGAATTCGCGGACCAAGGAGGAGAAGTATAAAATAGTGTAGTGAAGAGGCAGAAAGGAATGGTCTTCCTTCTACCGCAAATCCTAAGAATTCGCGGACCAAGGAGGAGAAGTACAAAATAGTGTAGTGAAGAGGCAGAATGGAATGGTCTTCCTTGGACCGCAACTTCTTAAGAATTTATCTAACAAACTCCAGGATGACTATACTAAGAAGTCTCGGTCCAAGGAAGACCATTCCTTTCTTTATCTGTGGCGATAGAGGCGGATCTTTTGGTTCTGAGATATGTTCATAAAACTAATTTTTTTTCCATATTTTTTTTTTATTCTCGTGGATTTTTGCATGTGTTTTGAGTTTAAACTAAGGGGAGCTTGGTAATTTCGAAAATAAGAAATCACAAAAATACTTATTTATAGACATACATATATGTATATCAAAACAAATTTAATTTTCTATTTTGCCCTTATGACGTCATATAAGAAAATCGAGTGGATTCGAATAACTCGAATGATTTCAGCCTATTCAAATATGACATTCTGTTTTTCGTTATCACTCGTTTAACTCTAGGCCTTTTCTGTCATACTCTATACGGACCAAGATGCAATCCATTCTAGTCATAGTGTGCTGAGCATTTACTCAACTCTATTCTATTCGAATGGAATCATTTCAAAGCCTGTTTGATTCCAGTCATGCAGATGTCTAATGCATACATATTTACATTCCTAAGTATGTCAAGCAAATACAACATATTTTTCTTTTTGATATACTCTTACCTTAGAAATTTACAAACACAATTAAAAGAAAATCACACGCACGCGAGTAACGCCTCACACACAGTCACACACTTTGCATTGTAAGTTGAGGAGAAAAAAAAAGTTCAATAGAATGGTTGTTGGCTTGGCTCGATGCGGACAGCGACACAAAGAGGACTCGGCGTGTGCCATAGGCAAGCATAGCGAGTGCTGTGCCGTATGCTAAGTGCCGAAACAAAAACAAATGAGCCCGCGTGCCATAGGACTAAGCACTCCTGCCTTGGAAGGTTTTAAAACAAAATTACAGCACCCCTGCCTTACAGCTTACAGCTTCGCCAAACAAATTATTTGGATTATGCAACTGTTGGTATTTTAGCGATTCATCTGTTATTTTCCACTCTGAAAAATAAATATAATGCGAGCAATAAGGTAAAGTTATTATAAGAACTCTACACCTACATATTTATGTACAAATGAATGTATGTACTAGATATGTACTATTAGATAAAAATCAATTCAACTAAATTCGTATAAACTTGGTTAAGAGATTCCGAGTTTTTCCTTTAATTACGTATATAAAATTGTGGGTGCACTATACAAATAATTATATATAAAAAAGGTTTCACCTCTTATCCGTTATAAAATCACGTCCATCACTTACGAATTTTTTTTACAACTGACGCTCCGGTGATCAGGGAAATCGGTAGGCCCTTCGTCCTACTTCGTTTTTCTTGTCGTTAACATTCGGTAGCCGAAGGAAGTTAATGGCTACTTTTCTATATTCTAGGGTAGTTTCTTGCATATATTCAAAGGCTTTTTTGCCCTTAAATACGAAGAAAATGGTTTGGCTGCGACGGCAAAAAAAAATATGAGAATTTCATTTTTCTAATATCAAGAAAAATTCTTTCTTGAATTTTTATACCCGTAATTTTGTAATGGGGGAGAAATTACTGGGGTGTGACGGGTGTCCTTTGCTTATCTGGGTTATCCTAGTTAAACGGGGAGAATATATTGGGGTGTGTCAGGTGATCATAGCGATATATTTGGGTTATCCTAGTTAATGGGGGAGAAATAACTGGGGTGTGCCGGGTGTCCTTTGCTTAGATTAAGAAAGTGTGGTGCTCACACGGGTACGTGATAGAATGTCACGGGCTGTTGTCACGTCCAAAAGAAACAGCTGAAAGCAAGCACCCTTGAAAAGGGATCCCTTTGCTTGCCACTGAGAAACAAACTCCCACCCCAATAACAAAAAGAATATGTAAATTTTAAATTCAAGTATATTTATATTTTTTTTTTTAACTTTTTGACCTGAAAGAAATATCTGAAAACGAACACTCATCCCCCTAACAAAAGAATATGTTAATTTTAATTTCAAATATATTTTTATTGTTTTATTTATTTTTTATTTGTAAATTTAAGGTTACGATTTTTGTATTTCTTTATTAAATTAATAGCTTTAATTCTAATGTATGGTGCCTGGTGACATTGACATGTATCCAGGCCCTCTCTTACGTCATCGTCGGCCCAGGGACATGTTAGCATATGTACACCATACCTAGTTTCCCTCTCACCGACTCGATCCATCTGTTGAAGATTGGAGAAAATCATCTCCAGGAACTCCCGATGATCCTCAAAAATGAAGTCACCAAATTCTTCGAGGAATTTGGTGATTTCATTACACACGTGGTTGTTATTCATTCTGCTGCTGTTTCTTGTTGTTTCTTGATGTTGTTATTCATTCTGCTGCTGTTTCTTGTTGTTTCTTGATGTTGTTGGTGCTGTTTGACTGTTGATGATGTTGTTGCTTGTTGATTTTTGGTTGTTGTTTAGGTGTTTGTTGTATAGTTGATTTTTGGTTGTTGTTTAGGTGTTTGTTGTATAGTTGATTTTGGTTGTTGTTTAGTTGTTTGTTGTATAGTTGATTTTTGTTGATTTGGTTCGTTGATTTTGGTTTGTTGATTTTTGGTTGTCGTTTTGTTGCTGTTCCAAACTTATGTTGCTGCTGCTGATATTATTAATCCAGACTTTCAATTCGAACTGAAGGTTCTTCCCAGTAACTTCTCACTTTTATCCCCTCTTCATATGGGGAGCAAAAATTTTCCACCACCATCCCTTCCCTCGCGATCATCCCTTTGAGAAAATTAGTTAGACAAATGCAAATGTGTCTAGAAACCGAGTAGTCAACAACCTGGTTGCTAGGACACGGTTCACTTTCACCCCTCCCTCGCCATCAAATATTCGATGGAATCAACCAATGAAAATAATGCAAGTCTAATTTCTTATATTAAATTTAAGGAAAATATTTTCATCAACCAATCAATTCGTTGCAACTCTAATTATACCCGTTACTCGTAGAGTAAAAGGGTATATTAGATTCGTGCAAAAGTATGTAACAGCTAGAAGAAAGCGTTTCCAACCCCATTTAGTATATATAATCTTGATCAGGGTCACTAGGCGAGTCGATCTAGCCATGTCCGTCTGTCTGTCTGTATGAACGCTGAGATCTCGGAAACTACAAAAGCTAGAATGTTCGGATTTCCCACACATATTCTTGGGCTTCCTACGCAGCGCAAGTTTATTTCAGCCGAGCGCCACGCCCCCGCTTACGCCCACTAACGATTTTAAAATGTGTCTGGCGTCCACACCTTTAAAGATTTCCGAAAAGTATAAATGCAATTTTGTTGTGTATACTTAAAACAAGTGATACAAGCACAGAATAAAAGTGAATGGGAGTGATAAAATTACTTAGCAAATTATTTAGGTAATTCGAAATTATTTTATATCTATTTATTTTATATTAAATCACTTGTTTTTTCTTATGAAGAAATTAAATAAAAAAAGTGATCCAAGTTAACTGATTTTAAAAATTGACTTTCAAGTACACTCATGCAGGACTCTAACTTATACCTATCAAAATGTAGAAGACATTTTTCAAATCGGACCATTCATTATAAAGTTATGTGCAATCAAAAAAATGTTATATATCCATCTCCCTCGCACTCCCTTTAGCTGAGTGACGGGTATTAGATAGTCGAGACACCAACCCGACTATAGCGTTATCTCTTGTTTCATCTAGAAAGGTTTTCTATATTCAAAGGCAAATTTTCTATTAAGAAAAATGTTTTTTCTATTTTCAAAGGTAGGCCGATTTAATAACGAGATTTCTAAAATTTTGAAATTAATTTTTATGAGTGTACGTAATATAGTAGTATGACAATTCTTCCCATTTTTAAATTGGATAATTGTAGAATAAGAATTAAAATATTAATATTTTTAACAATAACCAAATGTTATTGTTTTTTTTTATTCCAGTCCGAAAGTTACTCGTAAAAAGCCTCCGCTATACAACCTACATTTTTCCATTATTGGCTTAAAAGAGCAGCAGAAAGATTTAAAGAAGCGAATAGAACAATTGGGAGGCAAATGTGAATCAAAAATATCGGCAAACACAATAGCAATAATATCATCTGAACCAGAAGTAAAAAAAAAAACTTGTCGCATGCTGTCTGCACAGGAGCTTGGTATACATATTGTGCCAATTGAGTATTTGGATTTTGTGGAAGCTGACGCAGAAGGAGCTATAAATTATATAAATAGCACAAGTATATGTAATTGGGGAACAGATCCAAAGTCAAGAATGTCCCAAGATACCATAAAAAGCTCAAAATTAAAAAGTATATATACAAAATCCATGCCAATATCTAAGACGTTTAAAGTAAAGGATGGAATGGCCGTTGATCCTGACAGTGGGCTTGAGGACATCGCACATGTGTACGTGGAGGGTAACAACAAATACAATATGATTCTCGCCTTGACTGACATTCAAAAAAATAAAAATTCCTATTACAAGTTGCAACTTTTGGAGGCAGATACAATGGCAAAGTAAGTACTGTAACAAACTAAAATCGTATTGAGTCAAAATCTGCCAAGTGGGCCACCCCTGTTCCGAAGGTCCGATTTTCATCGAACTTTTTTACTTTTCCGGTTCACAACGAAAATATAAGAACTTCATTTGAACGGTTTTGCGAAATTTTGAGTTTTACCGGAGTTATAGGGGTCAAAACATGGCATTTTTGACACTTTTTCGAAAAAGTTGCACTCAGTCATTAATTCATAACTTCGGAACGGTAAGAGATATCTTTATGATGTTTTGACTAATCGCTCAAGAATTATTATGGCCGTATGATCTCTCTTTTTGGGTTCCCTATCCGTTATGAGCCAGCCTTTAGGTTGGTTGATCAGCAAGTCCCCCATCCGGGGGATAGGGGTCAAAACATGGCATTTTTGACACTTTTTCGAAAAAGTTGCACTCAGTCATTAATTCATAACTTCGGAACGGTAAGAGATATCTTTATGATGTTTTGACTAATCGCTCAAGAATTATTATGGCCGTATGATCTCTCTTTTTGGGTTCCCTATCCGTTATGAGCCAGCCTTTAGGTTGGTTGATCAGCAAGTCCCCCATCCGGAGGAATTAATAAAAGAGCTTAAATTTGTAAGGTTAATCTCCGATATTTCGGTTAGATTATTTACGAAGGGATATCCTAAGTGTTTCAGTCTAAGTCTGCATATGGCTGGGCAAGAACATAGTAGGTGTTCCACCGTTTCCTCTTCTTCCTCATCCCTGCAGCTTCTATAAAAATCTGTTTTTTGGGCTTTTGGCCTACCGCCGTGTGCGCCGAAAAGCCAGTGGCCTTTGAGAACTCGAAAAAGCATGCCACACTCCGTGCGTCTGAAATTAAGTAGTTCCGATGTTTTTTTGTATTATTTATTGCAGGCCAAGTCTGGTGAGAGATTCGGCACTGTGGTGTGTTTTGCCAATTCGTGTTGGCTAATTTTTATACCCTTGCATATTATAATTTCAGTCAGATGTTTGCAACGCAGTGAAGGAGACGTTTTGGACCACATAAAGTATATAAGAATATATATATAGATATATATATCGGCACCAATAGCCGAGTCTATCTAGCTATGTCCGTTTCTATGCGAACTAGTCTCTCAGTTCTAAAGCTATCGCGATGAAACTTTCCCGAAAGTATTCTTTCTATTGCAGGTATTACATATGTCGGAGCGAGCCGGATCGGACCACTATATCTTACGGCTCCCATAGGAATATTCAAACAAATATAAGAAGATTCATTGTAACTTTGTAGGAAGTAGGCGTTTTGATTTTTGACAACTTAAAAATTAAATTTAAATAGACACGCTAAATATGGAATCTCTGGAACTGCACCGAGTGAGCATTAAATTATAGGTATATACTTTATCTGCAAGGGTATATAAGCTTCGGCTGGCCGAAGGTAGCTTCCTTTCCAGGAACATCAAGGAACAGCCGATTTAGAAAATTCAAATCTCATATCGGACACAAGGTCGGTCGAGTCTAAACTTGGGCATATGCAGTACCGGGACAGACTGGACATCGAAAACAATGTGGCTCAGTACTGGAAGATGCATTCAAAAAATGAGCCGGCTTTGGGAAAGATACACCCAGAGAAATGTGGGACTATTTTTTAGGTAACGTATGACCTAAAAAATTTAAATAGACTAAAATGTCAGATTTAGGTAATGGGTTACCTAAAAATATTAGCATGTGGACTATCTTCCTACTTTTTAGGTAAAGCTAAAAAGATTTTTAAGGCCATCGTAACCTTAAAATTGGTCCATAAGACCTAAAATTTAGGAATAATTTGAAGTCGATTTTTACTCACAATTTAATACAAATATTGGTCCCTAATATTAATAAACAAATTATTCATTTTTTATAAGTTTAATATAAAACAAATTTATTCGACTTTTCTTAAAGCTAGTGATGGAAAAGATTCAATATATAAAATCAATACCTATGTGGACTATTTTCCTACTTTTAAGGTAATAGTGCCCTATTCTAAAAATAGAATTAGCCTGTGCCCTTAGAAGCAGGCTTTGGTTTTGCCGCAGGGCCTTTAAGTAGGTCCGTAGACCAGAGGCTAGCCTATTGGACTCTCGCGCAGAAGACCCGGAATCGATTCCCACCGAGGACCAAATAAAATGATTATTTTTTCAGAAAGATAAAATATTTACTTATCCGAATAAAACAATATAAGCAATTAAAATAAGCAAATATGTTACTATCAATGGTAAAAATGTTAGCTTTCTTAAAAATACCTAATATTTAGGTAATTCTGACCTAAAAATCTAGTTCACTAGCCATTTTTTGAGGTAACCATTACCAGAAATAAATTCAAGACTGCGTACAAAATATAGTCCACATGGACAACATTTTAGGTAATGCATGGCCTTGGCGCGTTTTTCTGGCCATGTTTCCTAAAATTTTAGGTAATTAGGCCCCTTTTTAGTCTATTTTGTTTTCTGGGTGTAGCGGAAGTTACATTGTCTGTGCCAGCAACGCAAGTCTCGGTGGAGAGGGCGTTTAGTGCGCTACCATATATATTTACTAAACTACGTACGACGCTAAGCCCCGACACGTTGCAGAATATTCTTATTGTAAAACTAAACAAAGAACTACTTAACACTATTAAATATGAAGACAGCTCACAATATATGTAAATAAATTGATTCTGCCTACCCTTACTAATATAATGTGTCTTTATTATAAGAAATTTGTATGTTTTTGGTTATGGATAATTTTTCTAAATATCTATTGAATTTAAAAGATTATTTTGTTCAGCGACAAGATAGGCCGTTTTGAAATAAGTAGCAAACAAATCAGTAAGCAATAAGCACCAACCAAATAGGTTGGATTTGTGCATTGATAAACGTAAAAACTATAATGGATTTTTTTTCCCGAAGATGAAGCTTCTTAGTGGGTGAAAGTGTTCTGACCTCTTAATCAACGAGTCTTTCCTTTGTTTTATATTTAAAAGAGTATAGAATTTTTTAAAATGTTAATGCTAATGTATTACAGTTACATTTTTTTTTGACTCGCACACTTTTGGAGTCAAAAACACATCGTGTTAAAAACACATTGTGTAAAAAACACATCGTGTTAATAACACATCGGTGTTAAAAACACAAGTCGGCTGTGTGTGTTAACAATTATTTTTCACATTTAACACTTTTGTATTTGACACACATGTCAACAACTTTGCTCACACTGTAAAATACAATTTTACATGTTTTTAACATGTGTGTTAAATTCCGAACCCTGCCTGATCCCTAATTGTTCGGAGTATATGTCTCCACCAACGTGTCCGTCTAGTTTGGAGGCGTCTGTATATAAAGAGATTGCGTCTATTGAGCCCGGTCGGCCCCGATCCCATTCTTCCCTACCTGCCGGAATCGATTTGTCATGCTGCAGAATCTTAATGTGACCATAAAGTTGGGCTTTCCATTGCCCTGTATCCCTCAATCGAATGGATGCCGATTTGGCCCTTTCCATGCCTACTAAGTCCAGGCTCGGGAGGTTCAAAATTGCGTTCAGCGCTTCGTTTGGGGTAGTTCGAAGGGCTCCACTAATGCACAAAGCACAAAGCGCGGAAACGCTTCCATGCGCTGCACTTTGTTAAGGGGAGTCAAGATACATTGTTTGTGCAGAGCGGATATATCCAATTGACGATTTTTGCGGACATGCCTCATCTTAGCCCGATTGCATTTTTACAAGAGTAAAGTGCAATGGTCGCTTTCTTGGTTCTCTCTTGGTTGTTTAAGCCCCATTTAAGACGCTTATCTAATACTAACGCCAAGTACTTATCTTGCGGGTTAGTGGGTTAAGTTTTGGGATTTTGTATCTGTTTGTAAAAAGGACTCTTTTCGTTTTCGAGGGATTTACCCCAAGTCCGTTTTTTATAGTCCATTCCAATAGTATTTTCTTACTTTCCATTAAAAATGACAGCGACATCGTCTGCGTATGCCACTATTTTAGAGCCTCCTCCTTTAAGAATCCGCAGTAGTTTATTTACCGCGATATTCCACAAGAGAGATGATAGTTTACCTTCTTGTGGAGTGCCTCTGTTTACTAGTCTAGTCTGGGTTGAGGTCCCTAGTGTGGCCGTGACTAGTCTGCTTATCAGCAATTTGTGGATCAGCCCCACCAACGGTGGCTCAACCCCTAGGTTTGTGAGGGATTCTGTTATTTCTGTTGGAAGCACGTTGTTGAAAGCTCCTTATATGTCAAGGAAGGGGATCAATGTCAATGTTTTTTTTCTTACGGTCTGCTCCCGAGAACAACCGAAAAATAGCATGCCCCCTTGTTCTCTCTCTGCGCAGCACACTTCGTTTCCTTTCGTTTTCTGTTGAGCCCTTCACGTTGAGCTGTTCGTGAGACGCTCTGTTTCCGAACATCGTTTAATGGACAAAAGGAATGTCGCTCGCACAGGGAGACTTATTAAAAGACCGATTGACTGAAGCAGCCATCGAAAACAGTCTTTTTTTCCGAATACAATTATATGAAGTAGTCCCTTCGGCTGCCTGATGCTTCGGCTTTTAGTCTGTTGACGTGCTTGGGCGATATCTCCCTTTTACTCGCACGTAATATCAGTGTAGGTAACAGTTCACTACCGACGGGACCTACATTGTAAAATTGAACTATGCACACTAGGGTGGACTTTTTTAAGGTCAACTGAGCTCAGCATCTTGAATGGTAGGTTTCTGTGTCCAAAAAATTTATGCGAAAACCGAAAAATTTTAAATCATCGTTTAAGCGGTGCGCAATGGCCCTAAAGTTTCGCTAAAAATTAAGTTTAAAACTAGGTATTTACACCATTCCATTTCTTGTCAGATTTTAACATGTCAACTTTTTTGTTTCGCTCGAATAAAAGATTCAAGTATAAATTTATTTCATGAAAATTAACAGTTGGACGTAGCCTAGCCTGTAGAGCTTCTGTCTCCCAACAAAAAGGACCGAGTTCGATCCCCGACCCACCATTTTTTTTGTGACTCACAATAAAATAGAGATTCTATTTTACAATTTTGAAGATTAACTATTACTTTTGCGTTCGCCAATAAAAATTTTCGTCAAAGAAATGCTGGCCTAGGATACAACGATATTGACTATTATTTTTCAGGGACCGTAATAGTTATAAGTTAAAAGCTAAAAGTCATTGATTATTCATAATAACGAATAATAACAATAATAACTATTATTTTTAAGTTGTAATTGTCTCTCAACGATTTGAATTTTATCACCGACTTCATCCCTTTTTAAATTGCTCAGGAAAGTGATTAAGATACTTTTTAAAATACTGTCAAAGTATAAAATCAAGTCTACGGCATCTAGATGAATCTGAAAAATGCGTAATAAACCCTAATGCACACACACACATGCGCAAAAGACTTTTTGAATTGTCGCTGAAGAGAAAAAGAGAGCCGAGCAAAAGAAAACCGAAAAAAATGCTCATCGTGCGGGCAAAAAAATTTTTGTACGAACAATTCAATCGGTTGCTCTCCGATTCTTTGCTCAAAGTCCCAGAGAAAAACAATTATTTGGGGACCGCACGAATCGGTCAACAGTTATTTGCGAGCTATGATCAATGTGTATTCCTGGATGTTGAGTGATTTCTCGATGACACTACCAAGTGTAGCGCCGATTCGGTCGACTTACCTTTGCACAGTGGTGGCGCCCATAGGCCAACCTAAAATGGGCAAAGGGTGTGCAACTTTTATTATAATGTGTATAATAATCGTACTTGTTAAATTGTTCTCGTTACATGAATTTGAAATAATACATGTTTTGTGTCTATTTTGTGAACGTCTTTTTTATGTTTAGCTAAGGTTTTAGTGATGATCCCATAAAATTCCACAATTTGTTGGAATGCCAATTTGTTCGTCTGGCTTTCAGGTAATATGTGTGTTAAAATTGGCTGCAGAAATTTGCAGATGTGGCTACAATAGTAAAAATACTAACACCATCATAAATTTTTCATGAGCAAAACGGGCCGAAAAGCTAATTTTTTTTCGCTTTTTCTTGTTGTGCTGTTGCTTTGTCTTCGTCTTTCGTGATTGTGAATTGTTTTCCAACACTAAATATTGAATTACTAATAGATTATATTTTTTTTTGTTTATTTCCTTGCTTTTAATATTGATAGGTTTTTCTTTTTCGCACATTCTTATGTTTTTGATTTATGGTGCAATGAAGATGTAGCCAACGCAGAAAGGCAAAAAAAGCTCTTTGAGGATATTGAAGAGAAAATCATAAAACATGGATATAGTGTTGATTCGGGGGAACTATCAATGCGAATTGGCTACATATGCAAAAGAATTGTAACGTTTTGGGAAAATTACAAACGCAAGAAAACGTCGATTCTCCAATACCAAGCTGATTGGATGAATATCCAAAAAAAAGTCCACCAAGCCAAAAATCTTGAAACTTGAAAAAAACATATTTCCCCATGATTTTTCCGCCATATTAGTTTCTAATAAGTTGTATCCAGAGCTAAACTAAAAATTTTGAGTATAGTTTGGTTATTTTTATTACAAACCCCAAAAATATACACAAAAGTTAGTTTTTGGCCATTTTTTTGTTATTTCTTGGACCTGTCTTCTGTTGTCAATTTATCCCATAGGAATGCTAATATGTGACATTTTTCTGTGCTGAATGCTTCATTTACATGTTAAACTATTAATTTAAAAGCAAAACATAAAGCAATTGAGGGATAGAGGTAAAGAAATCCACTTTACAAAACAGTCGGAAAAAATGTCCCGAGCGACATGTCCCGAGCGAATGTGTTTGAAACTGCATAAAAAAACAAAGGAAAACAATTTTTGAGTAAAACCAAAACCATTTCACAGCGACATGTTTGAACCACATTCTAAAAAAATTGGCATTCAAATATTCCATCAGAATTCGCTAATTTCTGGTGTTGAATGAACTTCCCCGAAATCCACTTCTATTTTTGTCCCGAGCGAATACGGCAGTTTTTTAACGATATCTTAAAAACAAAAACAAAAAATAGAGCTTGGGAAGAGTGAAAGGGAAAGCCCATAATTAAAATTAAAATCCATTTTTTTACAATTTTTTTTCAACTTTAAAGGAGTGCAAACGTCCCGAGCGACATTTTGGAAGTGCCCATATTAAAGAAAGAATTCCCTTAAGCTGTGCCCAAAAGGTGTCTCAATTAACTTCCAAAAGTTCTGACCGTGGACGACCGAAAAAAATTTCAATGAAGCTTCTGAACGCACAAAACGACGAAGAATTGCTGATCTGTCGAAAACCGACGAATCTATTGGTAATGGTACGCTCATGCAACTCATCTCAAGCAACGCTTACCGAATTCAATGTGGATGAAGTCTTGTCACTCTTCCTTGGTACAAATATGAGTAAACATCAATATTTGCTTATTCGTAGTTTTATAAATTGTAAGTGTTCCTTTAATCTACTGCCAAGCTACGAAAACCTTCTGTCAGCCAAAGCATCAACTTATCCTGAAAACATCAGTGTCAGCGAATCCCACGCAGAAGTTGAGCTGCAAAGCTTATTGGATCACACGGCATTGCGCGTTGTCAAACTTCAAGATGATGTCCTTAAGTGCAATGGTGATGATAGCGTGGCTGACTTGATTTTAATTGGCAAGTGGGTATTCGACGGCAGTACTGGTCATTCCAAGTATAAGCAGAAAACTGTGAAAAATAAAATTGATGATTCGAGTTTGTTCGTGCCTTCCTATGTTCCTTTACAATTAATTACTCGTGAAAATGATCCCAAGAAACGCAAAGTAATTTTAAAAATCCCCGTCCGGCATCCACACGTTACTGCAGACCAATAAGGGTTCAATTCAAAAAAGATTCAGCACAATTGTCCATAGACGAGGCAACATACTTTCGAGACAAAATTTCTGCGCTGAAGCCGTATACATGTAAAGTACTATCCAAAAATATTATAATAACACATCGTTTGCAGTTAACCATGGTCGATGGAAAAGTTTGTAGTGCTTTCAGTGAAACATCCACTTGTAAATGCTACATATGTGACGCAAAGCCAAGCAAAATGAATGATTTGGAAAAATGCTTAAACAAAAAAGTTTGTAGTGCTCTCAGTGAAACATCCACTTGTAAATGCTTCATATGTGACGCAAAGCCAAGCGAAATGAATGATTTGGAAAAATGCTTAAACAAAAAGGTTCGGATTGTCTCCATTGCACTCATATATAAGGTTTTTTGAATATTTCTTGCATTTGGCATATAGATTGCACGTGAAAACTTGGCGAATTTGTACCATAGACGATAAAAAAGCTTTTAAGGATAGGAAAGCACAAATTCAAGCAGACTTCCGTGCTCAAATGGGATTACATGTGGACAAACCGAGGAGTGGAGGTAGTGGAACCTCAAATGACGGCAATACAGCACGAACATTTTTTAGCGATACAAAATTGTCTGCTCATAAAAAAAATCCTAAAATTATTTCCGAGAAGTATAAATGCAACTTTTCAAATTGAACCATTCAATAAAAAGTTATACGCAATCAAATAAATGGTATATATCCATCTCCCTCGCACTCTCTTTAGCCGAGTGACGGGTATTAGATAGTTGTAACGAACCGCTACCCTCATAACCATAATTTAGGCTAGTTGTTGTCCCGAGCCATCGACGCACGCGAAAGATATTCTCCGGCTCTGGCTCTCGGCTATGGGTGTGATGATCTTGCCGATGACTCGTATTGCCTTTTGCTAATAATATTTAGATACTCGCGTGCATCACCGAACTTAAAACCGGGTCGAGAATAACACACACAATACCACCTACTGCACGTTCCCTGACAATTCCCCTTTCGTCTGACTTCACCCTTCGCCTCCCTGGATGACGTGGAGGTCTCGGTCTGCCCACCCTACCTTTGGTCGCTCATTCCCTTCGTCGCTTGACAGCCTGAGCGACCCCTTTAACCAAGTGCTACCCTACATTGCAGACAATGCTAGCTGCGGCCACTTTTCTTCCGAATTAGTTGAACATTATAAAATTTATTTACCAACTAAAATATAAAAACCATCACTTAACCTAAATATAAGAACATGCATGAAATAAATATATAAATATAGACAATAAATATAAGAATAGGTTAAAATATGATAAATATTTAAATAAGATTTTTAAAACTTTTGTATATATTAATATGGTTAAGTGCAATCTGGGGATTTTTGTTAATCGTCTTGGAAAGGTTTCATTTAATATTTAATTTATTTATTTTTTTCCCATTTAAATTTATTTACTACGGATTTATTATTTTTAAATATTTAACCCTTTAAATAGCAAGGAGCCTCAAGCCGCTCATATTCAATTTTAGTTCTCTTTAAACTTTCATTTTTTTCTGCTTTTCTTTTCTCTGAGTGTGGCTCTTTTAGTCTCTGTAGCTCCCCATATTCGTTTTTTTTTTCTTTTGAGGTTAAATTATAATTTTTTTTCTTTTGTTTTTGATTATCGCCTAATTAAAGGGGTTTTAAATAAATGTTTTTGGCCACTCACCACACTTTTCCCATCCTCCGACGAAAGCGCTTTAGTCGTTACGATGAAGCTAGATAGGGATAAGAAAAATAACACACACAGAAATATGGGACTTCATGGGCCAGGGGAATATTAGGGCTTTGTGGGCATCCTTTAAAACATAGCACTTAAACTGGGGCTTAAATCGAATTAAATCCCCAAATGACACTAACACCAAACAAAATAAAATGAACTTTTTCTTCTTTAGACGAACTAGCACTTATTACCTAACCTTAAACCGAAATTTAAAACTACTTTCTCCGCTTTTCCGCGGCGGCTACTCCCGGTCGACTCCCAGATCGGGATTTGGCCAGAACGAAGGGTATTTTCGGCCCGAAATAGTAACTTTTTAAACTTTAAAAATAACTCTTAACCGCAGATCGCGGCGGCGACGTTGTGCAAGCCTTCAGCGCGCGGCGAAACTGGCGACTAAGTTCGATCGAACCTGGGTTGTTTTTCGCCTCAATTAATAGCTCGATGGTAGTTCGTCGCCTAGTCTGTGCCCTGGATTACTTGATTGCGGTTTTCTTTGGGCCGGGGCATGGGTTATAGATGGAAATGACTTATCTATGACGGGAAATGAGGTAATCGTTTACGCCCGTCCTGGAGCGCTGCGGCTATTCCTTGGCGAAACGCTGGCGTTAAACTTGCTCGCTGGATTTGTAGTTTGCGCCTGCGCCCAGTTCTCTTTAGTCGAATTCGCCCTCTCTCTCTTGTCGGTGGCCCTCGAACCCAAGCGGTTGCCTATAAAAACCCCAAAAAATCATTACCAATCTGCCTATCCCCTCGCTCTTCTTTTCCTCACCCTTTAATTACGGCTCGCTGCCGATTTAATTGGAATTTCTTCCCGCTGGCAATGTGTTTCAGCACTCGCGAGTACTTTTCGAATCTTTTTGTCACCAGTAAAAATTTGGACTTAACACTTCAGCTGCCACAGACGGAAAGACCGAACCCCACGCCGGGAAAGTGGCGGTAACCTCGGATCGAATCAGGGTGAAAGCGAAGATAGTTGACACTTGCCACTGTTGCTCTCTCGCGCTATCCTACCTACATCTCCCACTCTCATCCCAGCTCTAGTGGCAACGCAGTACCCCCTTTACTACTGACCAACAGATGGCGCTACAAATGTATCTTCTCTGAGCAAGCGCTACAAAAATACCCCCCCCATCAAGATCAGACTTGGGGATAACTCTCCAAGACTGAGAACACCACAGCTTGCGAGACTACTGCTTGATATCCTTCGCATGGAACCTGCCAACATAACGCCCCTGTAGATCCTCGAGATCATAATACACCTGCCCAATCTTTTTCTTCACTCTTGCTTTCACGAAAGCTGGACCCAATTTTGCATTATATCCAGCTGCGAAATTGCTCTGCTTGAAATTTCTTCTATATACTTCTTGACCTTCCCTAAAAGATACTTCCCTTGTCCGCAAATTATATCTATTCTCATTCTTTTCAAATTGTTTTTTCATCACCTCTAGCGCTTTACTGCGAACAAGTTCTAGTGAATCTTCCTTTGAGAATGCCAACGATCTATCTTCGAGCAAATTAAGAGCTCTTAGCAACTTATACGTGGCACCAGTTGAAATGAAATGTTGTCCAAAAATCATATAGTAAGGCGAAGTCCCTAAACTCGAGTGGACTGCTGACCTGAGAGCACAGCAAATGCTGCTTAGCTGTTCATCCCAATCCTTTTGGTCGCTGCGCACATACGATCGTATAGCAGCTATTACGGATCTGTTCACCCGCTCTGACGCATTAGCTTGGGGCGAGTAAACAGCAGTAAGCGTATGGGATATCTGGTACTCTCTTAAGAGTTTCTGAAAGGACTCAGACTTAAATTGTGACCCATTATCTGAAATTATGTTCTCTGGGACACCAAAAGTATGGAATAGGTCTTGCTGCATGTACTTAACTACCACGTCCGCTGTTAACTTCTTAACCGCCTTCAAAAATACAAACTTGCTGTAGTGGTCCAGCACGATAAATATCCCTATGTTTCCACTCCTTGATCGGGGATACGGACCCAAAAAGTCTACATATAATTTCTGAAAGGGCCTCGCAGACTCGGGAGCTTTTCCCATCGGTGGTCTTAATGTACAATTTGGAGCCTTAGTCATTTTACATGTTTCGCACGCCTGAATATACTCTTTCACGTCCTTTACCAGTCGGGGCCGATAATAGTACCTTCTTAGCCTCTCCAACGTCTTATGAATTCCCCCATGTGAAGCTAAAGGATCATCGTGGGCATTTTTAAGGACTTCGGGCACCAAGCCCATAGGAATCCATAGCTTCCAACAAAAGTTATCGTGAATCGGATCCCCAGACAAGTGCTCCGTTTTTCTATACACAAATCCATCCGCTACTTTTAAATCTGGAAGACTGCTCGCGTTAGCTTTAACTTTCTCGGCCAGATCGACGTAGTCGGGATCGCTAAAGTGAGTGGATTCGAGATCAACCAATAAACCATGACTAACATCCACGGCAGCTATTTCTTCTTCGTTGACCCGGGATAAGGCGTCAGGAACCACATTGAGCTTACCGCTTCGATGCTCAATTTTGAAGTTAAAACCCTGAAGTTTCAACGCCCACCGAGCAAGCCTGGAATGCAGATCTGTCTGCGACATTAGCCACTTGAGCGACGCATGGTCCGTGATGACTGTGAAGTCATGCCCCTCAACGTATGCCCTAAATCGTTTTATACAAATAATTGCAGCCAAACACTCCTTTTCGCTAACCGTGTAAGACTTTTGCGCTTTGTTCAATTTCTTCGAGACAAATGCTATCGGGCATTCCTCGCCACTCTCCGACTTCTGCACTAGGACACCTCCTACTCCGGAGTTACTGGCATCGCAATGGATATAAAATGGCTGACTAAAATCTGGACTACGCAGAACTGGGGCAGAACAAAGCATTTTCTTCAACTTCCTAAAAGCCTCCTCCCCCTCCGAAGTCATCATAAATTTCTGCCTGGGCTTTAAAAGGTCCGTCAAGGGTGCTGATACTGCTGCAAAATTGCTGATAAATTTTCGGTACCACCCGACCATTCCGAGAAATCTTCTCAAGGATTTCAAAGTCCTAGGCAATGGAAATTCCGTCATTGCAGATATTTTATCTGGATCTGTCCGCACTACTCCTTCACCTACAATGTGACCTAAATACCTCACGCTTTTGACACAAAACTTGCTTTTCTCTACGTTCAACGTTAAACCAGCAGTCTTAATGTGGCTGGCAACGGAACTCAAAACGCTTAAATGACCCTCAAAGCTATCTGAAACTATGAGCAAGTCATCTAGATATACGAAGACTTCGTTTCTAAGTTCTGCCGGTATCACCTTGTCCATTAATCTTGTCATAGTCTGGGAAGCGTTTGTCAGGCCGAAAGGCATGACTTTAAATTGATATAATGGCTTTCCAGGAATGGTAAAGGCTGTTTTGTCGCGCGACTGCGGATCTAGCGGTATTTGCCAATAGGCATCTTTAAGATCAAGACTAGAAATGAAATTGGCTCTTGGGAGACGACTAAGAATTGCGTCTATTTGTGGTAACGGATAGGCATCCCTTTTTGTAACGGCGTTCACTTTTCTGCTGTCGAGGCAAAGCCGCACCTTTCCTGGTTTCTGCACCAAAACAACCGGCAAAGACCAAGGACTATCAGACTCCTCAATTACGCCGAGCTTAATCATTCGGTTGACTTCTTCATAGAGCAACTTCTCTACCGCTGGGGAAACTGGAAAATGTCTTTGCTTTACGGGCTTCGCATCTCCCACATCGATAGAGTGAGATAGAACGCTCGTTTTTCCCAGTCCCAAATCCGCAAAAGAAGGAAATTTACTGACGACTGCTTGCAAATGGGCCTGTTGCGATCTAGACAAGACATGAGCCTCACTAGTAAGCTCTTCTAAATTCATTTCTGGTGGTAAAAGTTCAAAAACGGTCCAGAAGTCTATCCCTAAATACAACTCCTGGCTCAAAGAAG